GAAGTGAGTAAAAAAGTGACATTTAAAGATTGCAGAAATATTGGTTATATTTACTTGTATTCACTTTGTTTTATTTTTAAGGTTGGATGATTTCTGTAAGAGAACTTAGTGTATAGTTAGCAAACTTGGTTCTTCAACAATGGACAAGAGCGAATGCTCTTTTCAAGTTTCTTGTGGTAATAAACAAGATATTTTTGGTACAGAAAATAGAATTAGCCTGGAATAAGTTTAGTGATATTTCTAGAGGAAAAGCAGCCGAAAAATTTTTTCTACCTGAGAAATCAAATTAGATCAATTGCTTGACCTTACATCTTGTAAATGTGAAATCACTTTATGTAATGAGAAGTGCTCAAAATTAAACAGTTGTCTAAATTTTGCACATATTCAGTGTACCTGTCCAAGAGAAAAAAAGATTCCAAAAATTGAACTTATTTGGTTAAAAGCTGAAAGAAAAAAAACTGAGTCACTATCAAAATATCAAATGGCTTGTAAAGATACCAAGGAAACATCTAGACAGGTTTCTCTAGAAAAGAGGAAGCTGAAAAGAAAGTCAAGTCTAGAAGAAAAATTAGAAAAAAAGAAGAGGAAGAAGCAAAGAATGCTTCAACTGGTAACTGGAAACTAAATTTTATGTCAATTAATAATACTGCTGAAGCCTCTTCGAGATTCAATACTTCACCAGTTGCAACATCACCAGTAGTTTCAGCGTTTCTTCAAGACCTAATTCTGAGTAACTTTTTAACACCTGAAATGTCCTTTTTGGCTGTAGATCCTAAGAAAGTTGTTAGAGCTAAGAAAGCAGTAATGACTAAAGCAAAGACATCTGAAGAAATGAAGATTCAAGTACAACCTATCAAATGTATATTTGCTGATGGCAGAAAAGATTTTAAGAGTTTTAGAGTACAACCCTGTAACAAAACAATTTCATCAAGGCGTTGTGAAAAAAGAACACATTAGTGTTACTTCATACACCTGACTGACACTATATTACACCCATAAAGACAATACCTCCCATTAAAGCTGCTAAAAAAGCAGCCATTGGATGGTTCCTCGGGGAGTACATAAATCTCTAGAAGTAATAGGAGGAGATTCAACAAACGCTGTAACTGGTTTAGGGAAAGATTGAGGTTTGTTGACAAATCTTGAACAATTATTGGGTAGAAAGTGTTTCTGTTCTACTTGTATGCTACATTGCAATGAGCTTCACTCTGGTTGGTTAATTACCAATTCACCACCAATTCAAAAGTTTGTTTTACTGGACCAATTGGAAAAGCTCTTTCAAAAGTGAACAGTATGGAACAACTTGATACATTTGAACCTATTGTGCAATTGGAACCATTACCCAGATCTCTAAAAAAACTCTAATTTTAATGTCAACAGATTCATCTCTCTGCTATAAACTAATTACATATTTGACTACAGGCAATTTGGACCCAATCTTAAAAAGGCTAAGTTTGGCAATCTTTCCCATAGTAGATAACTTACTACTAGAGAAGCTATTACTTTTCTTTATATGAGTGACAATGACTTTACTGATTGATGTGCTAAAAAGATTTCCCTTAATTTTAAAATGGGTAGTTAAAGTGTATTTTCACATTTGGTATAAAATCAAAGTGAAACACAGTATTGTTGGGGCCCCGCAACACATAATAACACTGTTAAGACTGCTGAGAAAACACGAGGATGAGATAAAAGAAATTGTTACTCTGTACATAAAAAATGGAGCTTATTTAGCTCATTGTGAATCTTTGATTCTTTCCCTTATAGCAAGCTCAGATAAAGAATCTAGGAGATTTGTCATTAAAACCATCAAAGAAATATGGAAAGGTTCAGAGTATGGATATACTCAATTCAGGCCAAGGAAGAAGGTTCAACTCAATCTGGGAACTATATCCATACAAGAACTGATCGACTGGGACAAAGAAGATAAATCAGAACCTGTGTTTACTTGTCAGATACCTAAAAAAGATCTTGACAATTTCTTAGAGACACCTTTTAAAGCACCTTACTTTCCCCTACACACAGTCTTGTGAAAGAGCGGTAAAAGAGGTGACAGATGCGTCTGTATTTGTTTGTGGATTTGAGAGAAGAGATGGATTTGTCAGGGCCAGGATGGCTCATAGACTATTAATGACTAAGCTGCACTCAAAAAATTTAGGAAGCATTTTTTTAAAAGACACTTGAATTTGATTATTTATAATGTAAATATAAACAAATAGTTAATCTTAGTGCCATTTTTTTTTTCTTTTTCATATCTGTTTAGACACAAATAGCATAAAAATTGGACTAAAATTTGTTTATTTTTAAGATGTCGATTTTACCATCTGACATCTTAAAAAAAAACAAGTTCTCTGGTAGGTAGAAATTTTTTTTTTCTTGAATTTTTATATTATTACTTAATATTACT